ATTAATATACAAAAGTGGTAAAAGCATGTGTAATACTGTAATACATTAAGAGATACACACACAAAAGATGTTAAATATGATGTCAAATACATAAGCATGGCAGTGAGTAAAAAATGTAGTTTTAGAATGCATTTGAGCTTAAGCAACAATCAACTTAAAAAACATTGCTATAAACATAGCATGGTATATATGAATCTCATGGTCACCCAAAACCAAAAACCTATAATACATACAGTTAAAAATGAATAAAAAGAACCCAAACAATACACTAGGAAGTCATCAATGTACCAGAAAAGAGAACAAGAGCCATAGCCGGTTTGGCTCAGTGAATAGAGCATCAGCCTGTGGATGGAGGGTCCCGGATTCAATTGCAGTAAAGGGCAACCTCAGTTGCAGGCTCCTCCATAGCCCAGGCTCTGGTCAGGCTTCTGCAGGAGACAACCAATCAATATGTTTCTCTCTCATCAATTTTTTTTCTCTGTCTTTCCCTCTCTCTGAAAATCAATGGAAAAACATCCTTGAGTGAGGATTTTAAAAAAAGAAAAGAGAAGAAAGTAACAACCAGAAAACAATTAATAAAATGGCAATAAGTATACACCTATCAATAATGACTTTAAGTATAAATGGACTAAATATTACAATCAAAAGACAAGGTGATTGGATAGATTCAAAAACAAGACGTGTGCATATGCTACATATAAGAGACTCATTCGGTTCGAAAGACAGATACAGGCAAAGAGTGAAGAGAAGGAAAAAGGTATTTCATGCAAATGAAGATGAAAACTGCAGTAGTGATAGTTATGTCAAGCAAAATAGACTTTAAAACAAAAACTGTAATAAGAGACAATAAAGGGCATTACATAATGATAAATGGATCAATCTAACAAAAAAACATAACATTGGTAAACATCTATGCATTAAACATTAAGAGCACCTAAATATTTAAAGCAAATATTAATAACATAAAGGTAGAGTTGACTGTAACACAATAATAGCAGGGAACTTTAACACCCCACTGACATTAATGGATAAATTATTCAGACAGAAAATCAATATAGAAACAATGGTCTTAAATGACACATTAGAATAGATGCACTAAACAGATACAGAACATTCCAGCCTGAATCAGAAAAATATACTTCATTTTCAAGTACTCATGGACCATTTTTCTAGAATATATCACATGCTAGGCCACAAAAAAGTCTCAATAAATTTTTTAAAACTTGAAATTATATCAAGAATCTTCTCCAATCACAACAGTATGAAAATAGAAATAAATCATAAGAAGAAAATGTGAAAAAAAAAACATGGACACTAAACAACATGGAACTAAACAAATAATAGGTTAATAAAGAAATCAAGGAGTAAATAAAAAAATATCTTGAGACAAATGAGAAAGAAAACACAACTATCCAAAATCCTTGGGACACAGCAAAAGCAGTTCTAAGACAGAAATTCAAAGCAATAAGCCTACCTCAAGAAACAAGAAAGAATTCAAGCACACAATCTAAACAGACACCTAAAGTAAGTAGAAAAAAGAAAAACAAACAAAGCCCAAAGTGAGTACAAGGAACGAAATGATAAAGATCAGAGCAGAAATAAATAAAATAGAGACTAAAAGAATAATAGAAAATATCAATGAAACTAGGAGCTGGTTCTTTGAAAAGATAAACAAAATACATAAAACTTACCTAGACTCATTAAGGAAAAAGAGAGAAGACCTAAATAAATGACATGAGAAACAAAAAATGGAAAGTG